TATTATAAGAAAAAAGTTAAGGATCCTGCAAACTGCTTAGATATAATTAGGAGAGAAACATTTTAAGGGTGCTCGCTCGTTAACTGCCAAGATGTTGCTATAAAAAATCCTGCTCGTCGGGTACTCAAAGAGTGTTCAGAGCTCATAGAGTGGTCACCGAAATTATTCAGCGAATGGAAATGGACTTTTTGTTCAATATCGTTAGGTTTCATGAATATTTTAAGGAATTCTGAATAGTAAAGAATAGGGTTGTTTTATAGAACACTATTTTATACCGACGTCAAAAAGAAGGGGGTTCTTAATTCAACTGTATCTTTTTTTTGACATTTGTAAATCGATTTCAACAATTCTTTTTCTAATTCTTTTGTTGGAAAAAGGTAGATCCCAAACTTTCCACCACTAAGCGTAGCAAATTGGGGGGTGAATTCGGTTTATTAGATTTCCGTTATAATAAAGAAAAATAAATAACACAATTGCAACAAACAACTTGTTTGTTTATATATAATAAGCCGGTATTTAATAAACACGGCTGTGAGTCCACGGGAGTGAAATTCCCTGCCTGCAGACTTGTCCCCCGAATGCTATAACTTGAACCGTTTGAAGGCGACAGTGAATAGGCATCCTCGACCTCATTGTCACTTTCCATCAGGTAAAATGGAGGTCAGGAACACGTGCAAATTACAACATGAAAGAAAAAAACGTGAAATTACAGGCACATGTGACTTGTCAATTTATGTGTCAGGGTGTCGGGCGCAGTGGCAGTGCCACAGATGTTTGTGATTTCAGGCTCTTAGTGACACTGCAATTGTTAGGGACAGGCGTGTCGCTTCCTACCAAGTACACGTCTTGTTCGTCCCGTCAATTACTATTATAAAAAAAAAACTTTTTAATACAATACATAAGTCTGATATTTTATAAATACATTTCCATTATAACCAATAATTCTAGCTACGTCACCGTTTGCCTTCTATCTTGGCTTGTACTTTACTAATTGGCTTTTAACAACTCTCGAGCTCCTTGTGAAAGAGTGCGTCCAGAGAAGTACTGCCACCTTACCTATTTCTGCCGCCAAGCAGTAATATGAGCGTTATTGCGTATCGGTTTTGAAGAGTAACCCCCTGTTTACATTGTAGTGCACGTTTTTTTGCAGTATAAATCTTACCGACTAAACAGTGGCACATACACTAAACATAGAACCTTTCACACGGTGTTAGTCCTGCAAAAAAACGCACACAACTCTATACGTTTATCGAATACGCAAATTAATGCATCTCTTTTACATTGCGCGAAGTCGTACCTTTTTTATGAAATAGTCACCGAACAAGCGGCGTCTAGGAATGAAGTATCTTTTGGAATGCATAATTTTATTAATACAAAATGACCGGCATTTGGTTCAATGGTCCGTTTTTTTCATCATTTCTCCGATTTTCGTACAATTTTTCAAATGTGTTCTTGGCGCATTAGATGAACCCAATACCTTCTGTTCTTCCGGCGGTAAAGCCATTGGGTCTTCTATGTCAATATAAAAGTGCAACAAAACGTGGAAACGTGTTCTCATTGCGATTGCTGTGTGAATACTGCGGCTATCCGTTTTTTAAACGCATGAAAATATATCGTGTGAACACCCCGCTGTTTATCCGTTTATAATCGAATACATGATAAATCGTGCAGTCCAATGCCGTGTGAACGAAGGCTAAGGGTGCTGGTGCAAACTACAAGTGCTAGTTTTCTTGTAACAACTGGTCATTGTAATTCTATTGGAACGTCTCTCAGATTATATTGCAAGTATGATAATATTTGTTACTCTGCTAATATTTAATGACATGTATTTAAGAAGCAAGTATAACTGGTTGAAAGGCAAGCTTTCAACGGCCGGCGGAATTTTCATGCATGAAGACTTATTTTTATAAATAGCGCCTAAATTTTACAAGGAGTAATTATTTTAATGGTTGATTTTGCCATACTCCAATTGAAGGCGTTTTTCTCTCAATATACTTTAAGCAGTGAGCACCGATTTTTATTACATCCTGTGTTAAGTCTCGTATAGTGGCGAACTAGGGGATGAATCTGATTTTGAGCACTTTGCGGTATCCGATTTCAATAAAACTTGGCAAATAGATGTAAATTCACGAACTTTTGAGGTGGGTTTTTTAGTACCTTGTACCGAGATTATGTTTATTTAGTGATTGATTCTCTTTCTCCGAGACATAAAATAAATTAATCTATCGATATTTTAATCTATTCTGAGCTACGCAAAAAAAATTGATTTGTATAAATTAAGTTTGATAGTTTCATGTTGGACCTCAAAACTAAGACAAATGAGCTTATTTTTAAAACTATGTAAAAGTTTATTATATTTGCATACTAATTGCAATATAATTTCATCTGAAAACATAATTGGTTTCTGCTTTTTCATATACTAACCTAACCTAACCTACTGAATTGAGGGCGCAACGAAGCAACCAAGATTTAACAGGAGATCTATATCAAAAGATATACTGGTTATAAATATCATCAATCGTTAAAAGAAAAGACTAATGATAAAAAAGAGAATCAATTATTATTTTTGAATACCAAAAATTATCTTATTATAACATCCAAGAGACGGGACGAACAAGTCGTGCACCTGATGGTAAGTTACACGCAAGTAAGTATGCTTAACCATAACAATAATGTTACCTTGAATGTAGTTCATTTATAATTTATCCGTAGATCAACTAATATAGATGGAACAATTAATATAGGATCAAATAATACCAGCCCAAACTTAATTGCAGTGGCAGTTGAGTCTATAAAGAGTGTCAGTGGAGTACGGCATTTTGCTTTGGGGTAATGCCGCCGATATCAATAGAATCTTTGTCCTGCAGAAACGTGCAGTTAGGGCAATTTACAATCTGGGCCCCAGAGTATCTTTGAGAGATAAGTTTAAGGAAATTAACATTCTTACACTAGCCTCACAGTACATTTATGGAAATGTAATTTATGTTAAAAGGAATAGTAATTTATTTATGAAAAATAGTGACAGACATAACATTAATACGAGAAATAGAAATAAACTAGCTTTTCTTGATAGTCGTCTTCACAAAGTCAAAAAATCATTTAAGGGGCAATCTATACGCTTCTATAACAAGATTCCGGTTGATATACAAAATTTGCCTTTCACGAGGTTTAAAACTATAGTGAAACAAAAACTTTATACTAAAGGTTATTATACAACTTCTGCGTACTTGGATGACAAAAATCCGTGGTAGTAACCCGTTTAGCTCATGGAGGTAGCCTCGATCTCTGATGTTTCAAATAAAAAAAAAAAATATTGTAAATGTTATTTACAAAGAGCAACCCCTAGAGTTTCTTGCTTATTCTTCTCAGGGGAATCTGCCTTACGAATGAGCGGTAGAGTTTAACTATTTTGACGATTTTAAGTGTACTAATGCTTACCTATGAAAGATTATTTTGAATTTGAATTTGAATTTGGAGTGACACTGATGGCATTCATTCGTTCAATCGTGGTTCAATCACTGTGATTGCCGTTGCCTTGCTAAACCTACAATGGAAATTAATACGCATAACCTAATTTTTATCTTATTTAGTCAGCAATTTAGTCTCAAAATGAAATATATATAATAATAACAGACCATTGAAGAGCAGAATACCAAAAAATTGCAATAACAGTTGCAAGTTTTAGCAGCAGTCGAGCGGCTTGTGATAGAGTTCGTTCAGGGAATTACTGCTACCTTACCTATTTCTGCCGCCGAGCAGTAATATGAGCTATACTGAGTTCCGCTTATAAAGGACGTGCTGGTGAATTTACAGGCACATGGAACTTGCCGACTTTTATTCTCAGACTGACTCAGATCTTTGTGAATCAAAACACGAAGTGGCACTGCATCTGTCACGGACAGACGTGTCGCTTATCACCAGGCGCACGACTTGTTTATCCCGTTACTTGAATATGCATATTTATGTGAATTATTCTATAAATGCAAAGCCAAACTTTGGGTCACAACCCGTTTAAATGGGATCCACACCATGCCATTAACATCTCATGTACCCCCAATTGCTTTTTTCGCAGGATGTTGTGAGCTCCTGGAAGTGATATTGACTACTTTGGGAATTATCGATTGTCTCAGGGTGACGCACACGTGCCCGTCCATGCAAGGTAGTGCTCAAAACTCAAATTTCTAAATGTGGGTATTAAAAAAATATAGATCTATGTTAGCGTAGTCGTAATTAAGTACCATACCACGCGTAAAAATACTGAGTCGTTAACTACTGACAGTTGTTGAATGCATCAGCTCAAAGTTTGCTCTGACGTGAGTTTAAGTCTAATCTTTGGGCATTTATTTCTTACGTTTGATATTAAAATCGATTTAAGTGAGTAGAGTATCCTAACATTTTTATAAGCTTATCGGTATCTGATATAAGGCTAATAAATTGTAATTTTTGATACACTTCACAACTGACAGTAGTTAGCGATTGAATATTTTTACGCGTGATGTGGTACTTATTACAACTACGCACAAATGTCCACATTTTAAACTTTGAGTTTTGAGCATTAGCTGTGGATGTGCCCTTCAGATCTTTGCGAATTAAAGCTCTGAGTGGCACTGCAACTGTTATGGACAGGCGTGTTTCTTGCCACCAGGTCCCGTCGCTTGATATCATAAAAAAATATACATTTTTCCATATTTATATCTTCCGATTAAACAAATTAATTAAGTATATAAACTTTACATTTAATCTGTAAATAGGTGTATTCCCTCAGCGGAGGCTTCACATTACCAGGGGTAGAGTTTGTAATTTAATTAGTACTCAAAAGTTTCGGAACAAGAGAGACCGCATTTTATCAGGTCGACCATTGAAATTTGTACTGACACCGTACTTACAACGTTATCAGGCAAATAAAAGGAATCGTAAAACTTTTGTTTAACACGGGTCGAAACCTTCGACTTAATCTTGAAACACGTTAAATAATTATTGCGTAATTATCGTTGTATTACCTTCGTATGGGTAGTCGTCGATGTTATCCAAATCACATTGCATGCTAAATATTTTGAAGTCCCGATTATCACATATGCGTTCGTTTGTTTACGTATATATGGCTTCGTACTTTGGGAGAGGGCCGTCGACGACGTGCGGCCGACGTCGGCGGCGCGCGAGAACTGAACACCGAGCCTGCCAAGGTTGTGGTGAACGCTACGGTCATATTATGCTACGAATAAAATGCTACGCCGGTTCGCTAACTCGCGAGGTATTGTTTTAATTACTTGTGCACAATCCTACCATATGGAAATTTTACCATCATCGATATACGGTTCATTACAAGACGTAAATTACAATTTTTTGTTATTTATATATAATTGACAGCTAAAATATTTTAATATCATCAACAGTTATTTGGTGTTAATATTAGATTTAATATAAACTTGCATGCTGTTACCAGCTACGTATGAAAATCTATTGTGTTATAAATATATTACATCTTTGCAAACCACACTTACTACGAATAAAATTAATCATATTATGTCACGAAAGTCATAAAAATAATACGAACTACATTAAACAAATTCGCTTCTTGCCCGTAGACCACCTGTCTGGTTCACCTGGGTGGACCACGGGCAATTATTACATCCCGTGATTTACCTCAAAGTGAAATTGTATAGATAATGATCCTATTTAAACATAAAACAATTGTTGACTAATACCGTTCGTAGAATTTTTAAATATCTTCTTTTGATAAGTAGTCATTTTGCAGATGTGGCGTTATTACATCATAGGTGTGAATTGTAAATCACGTTAATTCGTGTTTAAAGTATAAAAAAAGCTTTTTTATTTATAGATGCTTCAAAAAATGGTTTGGACAAAATAAGTGGAATCTTTTTTGAAAAAAAGTTTATTATTAAGTGAGGCCATTGTGTGACGAGAGGAACAACTCATACGCCCGTGGCAAATGACACGCCTATCTATAGCAGTTGCAATGCAAAATGCAATGCAATGCACATGGGACTTGTCAACTCATGTCACCCTGAGTCATGAGTTGACAAGTCCCATGTGCCCGTAATTCCACCAGCACCCTTACCCTCACATTATCATAGGTAAAGTGACAGTACTTCCCTCGACGAAATCTTTCACAGGGTGCTCTACTGCCATTAAAGTAAAATTGTGTGAGAAAACGATGTGAGAAATAATCCTGTTCGCTCGTTATAATTACATTCCAAAACGTACTTTACAAAATCTATATAATAAAACGCAAATTCTTATAAAAAATTCAATCCATCATTCGTTTTCTTTTGTGTTCAATTTGCAAAAAATTTTGTTGTAACTTTCGTCTTGCGCGTTAATTACAATGTAAAAATATTCCGTCGACCAAAAGCATAGATTGGTTTGAAACTTATAAAGTATTACTTATTCCTTATACATAATTACATTTTGTTTGGTGTCAAGGATTGGGCCTTGACCTCAGCATTATATGCTCAAAACTGGAGGCATTTGAGATGTGGCTACATCTTTGCATATTTTATGTCATTATTTACAACATTTTTTTTGTGAAATGACTCCACTAGTTTGTTGTAATTATTAATCAAAGATCGAACACTCCGAAAAAATTCCTTCGATCCGGCCGGATTCCAACCGACGTCTCCTAGCAAACCGTGGCAGACGCTATGCCAATTAACCCACGGAACAAACCAGCGGACCTCAGAAACTTTTCTATGTACTTGTTGTCGCAAGAGAACTAGTCTTGTTCGTTTGTCGCGCTAAAGCTGACAATATCCGCCTCCGCGAACATGCTTGAAGCGCTGTAAGGCGTGGCAGTCCCAACAACTTGTTAGTCTTTATTTAATGTAAGATCTGTTTCTGTTGATAAAATAAGTTTCAACATTTCGCGCTATATGATTAATTCCAGGTAAAAACTTTCTATAGTAAGTTACATTTCATGAAATTAACCTTCCAGCGGTCGCGACCTTATTTTAGTTTTAACAAAAATTATAAACATTAGACCGTAGTGCGACCTTGATATCCCCGAGGGGGTGAGGTACTTGCCCTCAGTAACCCGTGTAAAACAGTGACATTCGTCGCAAGCGCACATGTGTCTTTATTTGTGTTTGCGGTCTCAAATTCCGCGCGCGACCGGTCGTGTTCCAAAAAAATTATATGATAACTTAACATGTTTATTATGATAATTTTCATTGATCTCGATGATAATTTATTATAGTGTGCCTATTAAATGATTAAGATATATAATAAATATATGAATATGAATATTTCGTCTTGTTTTGTTATTTTGTTGGTTTTCAACATTGTGTTTTGCCATATGACTAAAATTTTGTATTTTTGTAGACTGTTATGCTAATAAGTACAAATTAAAAATATAATAAGTTTTTTTTTACTTGTTCATATATATAGATAAAGGACTTCTTTTGATCATGTGCTACACAACGTTGTCATGAAAATATTCAGCTTGTCTTCTAAAACTAAACGCTGAACGTTGCGGTCTCACAGACCCCACGCGACTGCTTATGTTCGGCGCAAGAGTGCGACCACCGGAAGGTTAAATTTCAAAAAATCCACCAAACATGCAGGGAAATAAAAATCTTTATATTGTACACGTAATGCAGTTTCATTGCGTTTAATCAGTTTAAAATAAAACATCCTATCCTCTCTCTTGTTCAAAACTTATCTAAAAGGAATTATTTTACAAGTTAAGCTTATTTTTAAGGTATTTTAGGTAATGTAATTGATATAGTAATATTCCAGGAAACCACCCATTTACTTCGTCTCAAACAATGAAATTCCCAGTACTATCATTTTTGAAAAGTTGATTACTTAAATTGATCTCACCGGGAATCGAACCCGGGACCTCCACATCCAGCGTCCACAGTGCAAATCGGCGGTCTAGGTGACCGTCATCAACCATTATTAAACATTATTAAATAACATTAGCAAAAAAGAAATCTATAGTAGCATTGACGTATTCTTGAGAATACATGAGAAGTGTGGGTGTAAATTGAAGTACATTCCCGTACTACTCCAATCTAGGCACTACTCATAATGAGTATGTATATAATATAAATTTACATTTTTACAATTTGACATGTCGCCATAGTGACGTTATATTTTGTTTTGACATCAATAAGTTCGTAGGAATTTCAAGCTTTTTGACAATAGTTTACATTTACCCCTAAGGTATCGGAGATATATTGCTAGTTTACTAGCTTTTAAAATATTAAGGACGCTGTTATAGAAGATATAACACAGTCCCACGACAATGCTGCTACTCTAAGTAGCATTAGTTTACTTATTACTAACCAACATTTAAACTAGAAAACACGACAACAGAAAAGTCTAATCTTTTTCATGTTGTTCATCAAAACATTGAAGGCTTTTCTAGCAAAACATTAGAAATAAGTCTTTTTTTAAACGATATTTCCGTTGACGTGTTTTGTGTAACAGAACACACTGGTTTAAAGACTACGAAGCAATTAACAATATGGAAAATTATGTAATAGTTAGCTCGTTCATAAGAAAGAACTTAAGTAAAGGCGGATCAATGATTATTATTAAGCGTCATGTAAAATTTAAAGAGCGTAAGGATATCACCGATCTCTCTATTGGACGGACTATTGAGATTTCAATGCGTGGAATTGGATCAGTTTGTCATCTTATGTGTATACAGGCTCCCCTCTACTAATTACAACGAGTTTGAATTGATCATGGAAGATAGTTTAAAACAGATTTTACCAACTAAAGAAACCATATTAGTTGGTGGAGATTTCAATGTAAACCTGTTGAAAAACTGTTCTGCTTCTGTAAGACTCATTATTTTATTTAAAGGTTTTAACTTGATCAATCTTTTCTCGGAACCAACTCGCATCACTGCATCGTCTACTTGTATTCATAATATTTTTTGCAACACAAACGCAGTATCTAAATCAATAATAAATTGCTTAAGATCAGAGCGTAGTGGTCAATTGGCTACTTTTAATAGTAAAATGAGCAAGACGCTAGACCAATTTCTCTGCAGACCAATTACCACAGGAAGAATTATTCGATTTCAAAAGAATATCGATAACAGTATAAATTTCCTTCCGCATATACCGGAGGTACCAAATATTTTCTATAGCACGATATTTAATTGCATTAAAAATAAATTTGATAAGGTATTTACATCGAAACACTAACTTTCCACAGGGAGACTAAATTCAATGACTGGGCAACAGTAGGCATTCATAAGAGTAGGTCTCGTTTATATGAGCTACATGCCATGAAAACTTATAATACTAATTCCAGTTTTATAGAATATATTAAAAATTATTCAAAAATATTTAAGAAGTATGTGTAGCTGCTAAGGTTAAGTTTCACAGCGATAAAATTATACAATCGAAAAATAAATATAAAACTACTTGGAGTATAATAATTTTTTTTTTTTTTAATAAATAACGCACACACTCAACATAGCCCCGCACTAGGGAAACCCTGTGTCGCGGGTGCCATGGACACATACATAGACAACCACAAATTACACCCAAACTCACGAGAGAAATAAATATAAGCTATACAAACATTTCTCCCGGCCCGGGAATCGAACCTGGGACCTCTGCGTGGCAGTCCGGCATGGAAACCGTTCGGCCACGGAGGCAGTTAAATAATAAAGAGGCAAGGTGAAACAACATGATAGAGATTTAGTTCTAGAATTAGACGACAAACTTATTAAATCAAAAGATGAGGTAGCCCAAGCTTTTCACTTATTCTTTTCGGGAATCGCCGTGAACACTACAAAGTCATTAAATTTCTCTCCATCTCTTGCTATAGATCTCCTAAAGAAAAATGTTAAAGTTTAAGGCAGTGTATTTATTTTTTTATTATTATTATTATTTCGGTAGGAATCATATTTTTCATAGTGAACAATATGGGTTTTACTAGTGGTAGATCGACTAGCGATGCGAGGGTAGCACTACTAAAACATATCTATGATGCTTGGGAAAGATCCCAGAACACTATTGGGGTTTCTGTAACCTCTCAAAGGCATTAGATTGCGTGGACCATATTACTCTTATTAGGTAACTGGAATATTACGGAGTAAGTGGCAAGGCGTTGGAATTTTTTCGTCATATCTTAACGGTAGAATTCAGAAAGTAGATATAAATCGATTTAC